GCTTCAAAACATCTCCCAAGTCTACGAGACAGCAACCAAGCATTCTCAAGTGCGAAGACTGCCCATGGAGTGCGACTTACACACTTCCTGAGGGCTTTCGATGGTGCCAGGGAGAAAGCCCAACCAATGGTTTGGAAAGGGGAGCTTGGATACAGAAGGTCGAGAAAACTGAGGATAAGATGGAGGTATCTTAGTGCGATGGTACCACCCATACCATGTTGTTCAACCAGCTCCTGAATGTCTTACCTTTTCCACTCCTTGTCATACTTTGATCACTTTGGACTATCTGCTTACCTGACTCTATATCTCACTATGCTTACCTCTATGTCTCACTATGCTTAAATCAGGACTTATCTTTACACCTCACATGTGTGAGGCAATAAATGTTTTTTGTTTTGACCTTTTATCCTCAGATCAGTGACGCAGATAAGATATTATAAGATAAGATTGGTGAAGGTAATATTCATAAAAAGATATTGTAATATTTTAGACTCAGATTGGCGAAGATAATATTCATAAAGCGATATTGTTACATTTTAAACTCCGCTTACAGGATCAATTACCCAACCACAGCACCACGGCATTCCTAAAATGGTAGGAAACCAAAGAATCCGCGCAAGGGAACCAGTAATTTCCGCGCACAAATAATAATTTTTGCAGCACTGATAATATTTCTGGGCACCTCATAAATCTGTCAATAAGTTTCCGCGCATGTAGTAAAAGTTTCTGCGCAACCAAATGTATTTTTGCGCACACATATCAACTTTTCCGTGCACAATCAACATTTGCGCGCACTGAACTTAATTCTGCGCAAGTATACTAATGATTCTGCGCAGTGACTGTATTTTCGCGCAACACTACAAATAGTTGTGCGCACAACATACATTTTTCCGCGCCGACATATGAACTCTGGGAATACTTACCCAAACGGACCGCCATAATTAAGAGGATAAAGACGGCGAGAGTGACTCGTGTCTCCCTTACCATTCTCGCAGATGATGGAATTTTAGCGCAAGGAGGCGCGTTACGATGTGGTTTCATGCGAAAGTCTGTAGGAACCAAAACGTAACAATGTGCATGGCGGCTCTGATTCACCAACGACACATATACTGGAAATGAATATACTCAGCGACATAATTCCGCTGCCAAAACCCACCGCGCATCATGAGAAGTACGAGAGATTGTCTCGAAGCGAGGTGATAAAGTCACGACGGCTCATCAAGTGTCAAAACGGAAGTATAAAATAAAATTGAAGGCAAGCGGGTATGGCGGTCCGTTTGGGTAAGTATTCCCAGAGTTCATATGTCGGCGCGGAAAAATGTATGTTGTGCGCACAACTATTTGTAGTGTTGCGCGAAAATACAGTCACTGCGCAGAATCATTAGTATACTTGCGCAGAATTAAGTTCAGTGCGCGCAAATGTTGATTGTGCACGGAAAAGTTGATATGTGTGCGCAAAAATACATTTGGTTGCGCAGAAACTTTTACTACATGCGCGGAAACTTATTGACAGATTTATGAGGTGCCCAGAAATATTATCAGTGCTGCAAAAATTATTATTTGTGCGCGGAAATTACTGGTTCCCTTGCGCGGATTCTTTGGTTTCCTACCATTTTAGGAATGCCGTGGTGCTGTGGTTGGGTAATTGATCCTGTAAGCGGAGTTTAAAATGTAACAATATCGCTTTATGAATATTATCTTCGCCAATCTGAGTCTAAAATATTACAATATCTTTTTATGAATATTACCTTCACCAATCTTATCTTATAATATCTTATCTGCGTCACTGATCTGAGGATAAAAGGTCAAAACAAAAAACATTTATTGCCTCACACATGTGAGGTGTAAAGATAAGTCCTGATTTAAGCATAGTGAGACATAGAGGTAAGCATAGTGAGATATAGAGTCAGGTAAGCAGATAGTCCAAAGTGATCAAAGTATGACAAGGAGTGGAAAAGGTAAGACATTCAGGAGCTGGTTGAACAACATGGTATGGGTGGTACCATCGCACTAAGATACCTCCATCTTATCCTCAGTTTTCTCGACCTTCTGTATCCAAGCTCCCCTTTCCAAACCATTGGTTGGGCTTTCTCCCTGGCACCATC